AAGTCCGTTGGTGAAATTGTTAGGAAGTATATAATTTGCTGCTACATTTTATCAACAAATACACGTTACCTGTAAACTTAGTTTTTCGTCTTAAGTGGCCTCCAAGTAGGCGTGATGACCATACAATATTTGCCAAAAAACGGGGACCTAAAAGAAAATTTCAGCCTAGCAACTACGTGCTCACAGGCGACATCTCTGATATCGGTAGCAAGGTCTCTTCTTGACTGCCGACAAGCTATTTATTGTACAGGGCGTCCCACGGCCATGATGCCACACGGATGAAGAGTATGTTAAATATTGAAAATACAGTAGTATATTTTACTGAAGGAAGACATCATTATATTCTTAATAATAAGTAGAACTGGAGTCACTTTTTTTTATCACCAGCCACAACCTCGTTACATGTGAAAAAACATTCATGTATTTTATGGTATCCGTCCTAAGGGTTAATCATAAGGATTATTTTTTCCTACATAACATACCTAGCATTTTAAATAAAAGGAAATCATGTTAGTTTACAAGAACCGGTATGACGGCCAGGAGTCATAAAATCAACATAGACGTATTATTTCAAACATGCAAAGGTGAGTAAATCGACAGGCAGTGAAATGATGAAGAGTGAGAATTTGTAAACTCAAAATGGATCACATTTAGAACATTTGATAAATTAAATTATAAAGAATTTTATTGCACCGTTGCATTTTTATTGTAGTTTTTGTTGTCATTTATATTTAATGATTTTTCTTTAATTTATTAACCCCTTCGACGTTTATCATAAAAAACATGTTATTTTTGTTTCACATTCCAACTATTTGATTCCCGATTGTGGCAGGCGATTTAAAACTAAACTAAGTGTAGTTCTACTTATTCTTAAAAATAAAATGATGTCTTCTTGAAAGAAGACCTCTTCAAGTGAGACTTACTGAAGTAAAATATCCTATCTTCAATATTTAATATACTTTCCCCCCGTGTGGCATGACTGAGGATCGGCCTGTATACTCCTGCTATTCTTCAAAGCTTTTGTTTTGGTCTATACTTGACACCTTACGGTTCCACGATGCATGATATACAAATAATAAGGTCATCACGTAATGTGCTTCGTTTACTCGATAACGGAACCGGTCTTTTGATAACTTTACCATGTCCTCTGGACAGTTGAAAGACGAACATTATGCCATATTAGAAAACGGTATTGAACATAAAAAAGAAAAAATAATAACAAGCAAGTAAGTCTCAACGATTCGCAATTTTACAATAGTGAGATCTCTAGCGAGTACTACAGGGTTAGAATTTTGGACAGTAGTTATCTGCAAAGCAGCGTTTTTCAAACTCCGAGCTTCAGGACACTTTTTCAAAGGCTATCTTGCCTGCTGTACACAATTTGCATTTTCGTGAGTGAGTGAGAGAGCAATTCATGAGGCTGATACTCAGGCATTTACGTTTATCATTCTGATTGACTTTTTTTATAGACATCTTTTCAACTACAAAAAGTGCTACAAAACAACAAAAAAGTGTTATAAAATGATTGCTGTGCGTGAAGTAAAAGCATTGAAGAACTTTTGTTCAGAACAACGTATGCTAGCGGGCAGATTAATAGGTTGTCCGACAATGGTTCACGAAATTTCTTGTCATGTGCAATGTGTAATCAAAAATAACTTAAAACCGGAAGGTTCCATATTCTTGGAGATTTCACGTCGTTGACGAGGAACTCCATTTACAGAAGTCATCTGTTACTGTGATCGATTCGCACATTCGCGGGGTAATAACGTAATCTATTTATAAAACAAATAAAATTTATAGTGAAATTTTGCTTTCGCTACGCTGTTCGTCTCACAGCCGGCAGTGACAAGATATGCGGCGCGCATTATCCTCATATAATAAAAATTAAAAACTCGCTAGCTCATCAAGCTAATCATATATAAAGGAGATTGCTCAGCTTCCATAGATGTTTGGCCTAAAGACCAATAATCATGAAAAATTGTTTCCTAGATTCGAAATTATATATAAATTACTGAAGAAACGAATATTATTGACGGACACCCCTGAGAACTTCTATAAACCATATACACTGAATGATTTTGAGGTTATGTTTGCAAATAGGTACATAGGTATTATAATAATAAAAAAAACGAATAAGTTATGTAATAAACTAGGGAAATCAAGCCAGGAACCGAAATGATGTGTTAGATTCAGGTATTTAACAGATAGTTACCTGTTTTTAAAAGTTAAACTTAAAATCAGGTATCATCTATGCATTTCCGGTTATAATAAGGTACTCTGTGACAGAAACTGTGTGATCATTGTGAATGAGCCACAGATTAGAGAGAATTTTTAAACTCTCATTAACCAAAGAAAGCTAAGAGATTTAGGTTATACAGCCATATCTTTAGTAACTTCATTATTTTTGCTATGTTTATATCACCATATTTTAGGTTTTTAGTGTATCACACCTTATAATGTGTTTATGGAGGTGGTTGTTTTTCTGTTTGCGAAAAATGTATGGCAATAAACTTTATTATGTCGCCTACCATCTATAATATTTTTATAGCACATTTGCATGTAGTGAAAATGATAATATAGTTGTGGATATCAATACCACAGTGTAATAAAAGAAATGTTTTATTTTATCGATCTTTATAAGACAGATTTGTTTTGATGTTATATAAACAACTTCGATCAGTCTTTGGCTGAATGTTACTACACCCATAGTCATTGAAAATGTTTCGTATGGTTACGAAACCGGGAAAATTAAAAGTCCTTTTTAAAATGAATATATTATACAAAGGTGTCCGTTAAAATCTAATGACTGTAAAATAAAGTATAAATTACGCCAAGAATTACCGTACATGTCAATATTTTTTGTACATTTGGGCCAATTTGAGTAATATCCTTTATATTCATGATCCCGTGGCGCAACCTTTTTTTTTAAATATGTAATGATAACTATAAGGACTTCGTATTAGCGGCATCAACACTTTATTTACCAAACCACCTCAAATACACAAGTAATTAAAAATGCAAAAAGTAAAACAAACGGTATCGCCTTAGAAGATGGCGAATTTATATAGAATCCATCATCACGCTTTCTGGCTCCATCAAAATTATATACTATTATGTATATTCATCTATAATTCATCCCTGCAGTTGTACTCAAGATATGCGCCCCCGAGCTTAACCCTGTCCTTACGCGCTTGTATCGACTTTCCTATGAAAATAACTCTATTACAGCGTCGTGGAAGCCACCTTATACCAAAAAAGGGCGAAAAATCAGACTCTTCAAATTAAAGGTCTATAGCGATCACATCTTTGCTCTCAAGGTGATGGAGCGCGGCGGGTGATCATCACTCGCCTTTTGAGGTACCTTAAGGAGCATCAGCTAATTTAGCAACCGACAATACAGTTTCCCAAACGGTCGTCAGCTGGTGATCGTCTCATTTATCTAGCTCACTGTTGGGCTGAAGCTGTCAAGAGCAAGGGCCCTTGCAGTAAAATTGGATATCGACAAGGCGTTTGACAGGGTCTAACATAGAGCACTTTTATAGAAGTTACCGTCTTACTGGGTTTGCGAGTGGATATTCAGATTCTTGGACAGCATGAGCATTAAAGTCGTTCTCTATGACTGCTGCTCCGAACCAAATGACTATAAATGCCGGAGTTCCACAAGGTTCGGTGCCCTCCGCGACGCTGTTGATCCTGCATATCAAAGACATGCTGATAGTACCCGGCATCCATCGCTATTCAGATGTCAGAAAGTGTGACGCGCAGTATACCGGCCACTCAAACATCCCTAGAGCTCTAGTTTCGGAATGGCGGACTAAGCTCGTGTCCCAACCTCGTCTCGTTCAAACGTAGCAAGACACAGGTTTGCGCATTGATTGCAAAGAAGAGCTCATTTGCTGTCACACCACAATTCCAAGGAGTCCTGTTGCATAATTCAATAGCGTTGGGATACTAGGTGTTAATATCTCGTGTGTCGTCCAGTATAGAAACTATTTAAAAAACATGGCCAAACTGGCCTCTATAGAGCTTAAGCAGCACTTCATGTCTCTGTGTCAAAGGCTTCTGCTTTACAAAGCTCAAATTTGGCCCTACATGGAGTAGGTACTGCTCACATTTTTGTCCTGGAGCCCTCAAAACCAGTTAAATCGCCTCGATTCTATACAAAGACACGCGATTCTTTTCTTTTATGGTGAGTGCTACAAGGAATTGTTCCAGTTAAAATCCACAGCACCATAATACCACCGCCCCATCCGTCACCGTCGAAGATCTTTTATTCCAAGGCCAATAAAAATATGGAATAGCACCCACAGTACCTCGTACATGGTCCTCTATTCCAAGGCCAATAAAAATATGGAATAGCACCCACAGTACCTCGTACATGGTCCTCTACATAGTTCCCTCAGTACATGGTCCTCTTCAAGTGAGGCTTAAATAATGTTCCACGAAAGGCAGCGGCACGGCTGTGTCACTGACATTGCTAATGTCCATGGGCGAAGGGAACCACTTATCATGAGGTGGCCCCGTCCGCTCGTCTGTCTTTGAAGACAATAAAAATGCTTTCAAATTTCTCGTCATTGGAACCAGCGGAATATTCACAACATGCAGGCGAAGCGTTAAATTTAAATGTGAATGGATCATGAATCAAAAACGTTTTTAATAAGTCTAATTTATTAAATATAAGACATTTAGAATTACTAAATATTAAATTATACGTCCACACTTCCACACACTACATGTATTAAATTTATCTTTTTTATAGATTGCGTTCAAATAACTTACAAAACTAGTTTGCAGACAAACACAGTAATGGATGAATGCCTAATCTTAAGGTTTTAAATAATAAAAAAAAAGTATCATGGAAGGAAACGAAGTACCTAGTTATTATATTCAATATGTACGATAACATTAATTTGCAATAGCATAGTAAAACTACATTACAAGAAAATTCAAATGGGGTAAGAAAATATCCAAATTTATAATCACTTTTGGTAAATAAAAATGTTATGGAACAAGAGCAAAAATGTAGATGATTATACGGTGGGGTGAAAATAGTTTTACATACTGTATTATTAGCGATATATATAAAAATTTACACATATTTCTAAATATTTTTTTTTTGTTACTATGATGATCTATGCTATCGGATTTTCAATGTAAACGGGCGAGGGAGTTTATTGTACAGTATACAAGTTACTTTTTTTAAATTATACTCTATCCTTACAAGTCACTTTAAGATGTTTAATTTACTAATCTTCAAGCAGATAATAAATACAAAATGATGTTCAATTCGCTTTCGGTTACCCGATCGGTGAATATTCCTAAGCCATTAATAAAAAAGCTGTATTGTAAGTAGTTTGTAGTTAACAGCATATCTACATTTCGCTTTTGAATTTATTAAGTTTATATTTACGACAAAATAATTTAAAAAAATTTGTTCCTCATAAATTAAAAATTTGTGAATATTCCTTACATACTTCCTTACTACCTACCTACATAATTAATCAATTAAAAACTACACTAATGACGAAAATAATACGTTTCAATATACAAGTATTAATAACAAGTCCATTGCACGTGGGATAAAATAATTATCGCTTGTATTGTGGATATTTTTCAAAGCCTACCTACTCTTTAAAAAATATCTACATGACTATTGATAATTGTTTGTGTTTCTTGTGTTAAATAGAACAAATTTATAAGATCTAGTTATTCATACTTGTTATTGGTGAGTTCTTAAATAAATATACTTTAAAAGATCTCTGTACGCTGATTGTAACGTCATATTTATTATTTTTTGTTTAGAAACGACGGCGTTTGTTAGGGAAATCATCCATCTGTCGGGGCCCTTCCCAACCACGATTCTGCGGCATGTCGTCATAGCCTCCACGTGGCATGTCGTACTGGTCTCTGAAGCCTCCATCCTAAATAAACCATAACACTTTCTAATAGTTTCACGTTTGCTTGATATATATAAATACTATATATACTAAAATCGGTAAATATTTTTAACCATCTGGCAGCTTTTTCCACACCCCGCTCGCACACCCCAATTCGATCACAATTTGTGGATATCCTCGAAATACGAACACAAGGTGAGAAGTTTAGCTTGTGCGTTAAAATAAATAAACACAATGCAATATTACATTTATCTAATGATCATCGCATACCTACATAAGTACGTTTACAATTTACATATCACCACTGCCGCAGTATAAAACTTATATAGTATGAATTGGCTTCTCTTTTTAGAAGTACGTTTCCTTACACAAATTATAAATGCGAAAGTGAGTTTATTTGTACGCTTTCACACCTTGACCACTCGGATTTGGATGAAATTTAGTACGCATGTAGTTTATGACCTGGATTGAGACAAAGAATACTTATTATCCGGACGAGGTCGCGGGCGTCCGCTAGTCCACTATGATCTTATTCACGCCGTTCCTTTTAAATATTTTAAGAAATATTACTAAGGATAACTTAATCAATTGTGAAAACTCCATCAAATTTTTTGAGCATAAACCATGGACATGGAAGTCTGTTCAGTAGGATTTTTTCACACAAAAACTACTTACATTGCTTGATCTATCTACAAGTAAAACCGCCCAATATATGTTCTTTATTTGGTAAGAGAGAAAAGTTGTGGGCCCAAATGTTATCATATGGTTTTAAATTACAAGTTCAATCAAAAACTGCGAAATATGAAAAAGAAGTGTCGAACAAAAGATAACTTAATTAAAAATCTATCGACATAAATTCCACAATTAACTAATAAAAATCACTTACACTAGGTAAATGAACAAAAACACTAAAGGCTGGCGTCCTTTAGGGACGGATCGGGGCGGGTCGCATTGGAACGGGCCGCGGTTCTGTGATGCTCTTGCGTTCATCTGTACGGGGCGCGGCGGACCGCCTAAGCGGATTTGATCTTACAGACGTGTTTTCGTGCTTGGACTGACATCGCGCTACCATGGACAGCTCCGATGAAGAGATGTTATGGTTTCAAATCCTTCTTGAGGAAGAGCAAAAAAATAAAAAACGACGACGAGTACACAAGGTGTGGGTGCATGATATATGTCAGAAAAGAAATGTATTTGGTGAATACCATCATTTGTTTAACGATTTGAAGAAAGATCCAGTCAAATTGTTCGAGTATTTTCGAATGTGTTTTGGAAAATTTGAAACATTGCTTAATATATTACGTGAAGATTTACAGAAACAAATTTTCGTTTATTTTTATTAGCACGGCACGTGCGCTCACATCCGCCTGCCTGCGTCGACTTCGACTAGACGGATCGGGGCGGGTCGCAGCGCACCGCCGACATAAATACGCCTGCGAAGCGATCCGCCAATGCGTTGCCGACCGCCGCGCTCCGATCCGTCGCTAATAAACGATATTTCATACAAAATATAGCCAGGCGTATTTTTGCGTTGCGATGCGGCCCGACCCGATCCGCCTGGTGGACGCTAGCCTTAAGAGTTTCGAGACATACACAAACAATTACTTTAATCACTTATCGATTTTTTATATTAAGTTCCGTTTTTATTACAAATCAATGTATTAAAGCTGTAGAGTATTTATTTGAAACACACGGAAGCTCTAATGAAAATACAGACAGCTATGCCGTTATCTGTTCGATTTGTATGTTGCTGTATTTCGAAAACCGTAAACTATATGCATTATTTTTTTGTATATATTTTTATTAGTTCACATATCTACCGCACAGTGCAGTTTCATGTCATTTCATAGAACAGCGCTGGGACGGGAGAGCGGAAGACCCAACTCACGCAGCGCTGCTCTATGAATTGCTATGGCAACAAAACAAACGAGGCGTGAGCGCACTGTACTTGCACTACGATATGTCAAAGACAACAACGGCTTTGCCATATCCAGTGACAACTCTGCGTTTTAATTTGCGTATTAGATATAACAAATACAGCCGACGTCTTAACGAGACCATTTTATATGAGTTGAGCGTGTCGTCGCGCTGAAATCTGCTTATTATCAGGGCATAAACTGGCACCGGTATCAGCGCAGTGGGAAAACGATACGCCCGGCGCCGGCACTGGTCTGGAGCCATGCCGGGCCTGTGAGTGGAAAAACGCCTAGAAGATGGAGCTGATAGGCTCACAATTTATAGTATTTTTTTAAATTGCTTAAATAGATAGTATTACCAAATTCAACCTCGGTCGTATTTCAAACAAGAAACACAAAATCCACATTGAATAGATACGTAAATTAAATAAAAAATAAAAGAAAATCAACTAAATACTGATAGCTCACATATTAATATCATAAAATAATATATAAAGAGGCTCTTTTGTGGTAAGTTGCGCAGAAAATTTGAAAATGTAAGAAGCCTTAACTTACAACTCTACCCGATACGTGGCGCTATTTTATTTGCTTGATTGTCCAATAACAGGTCTTTTAGCAAAGCAATAACCCTATTAATTTATAAACGAAATTAAGAACGAATTATAAGATGGGACTCTTTTGGTAGTATCCAAAAAAATTACATATTCTGCTAAAAATCGTTAAACGCCCTATTAACGTTTTCAAGTTAAGCACGTCATAATTGTTGTATCTCTGTTCATCTAATAACAATAATTAAAATACTGCATAACTTTAAATCAATCTTTATATCAAGTTTAATTTAGAAGTATTACATTCGATTTACAATTTCAATTTCTGTATCATACTATCAAACAGGGCAATGATATTAAGTGTATTAGCCGGCACCGCAAATCTCCTCTATTTGACAGACAACAAACTTAAACACCAATCACATTCAATTACAGAATCGATCGATAAACTGCCTTCCAATCTGCAGAAATAATAACTTGACTATCGGACAAATTTCTTATTAACAGGAAGACCTGCTCTGAAGTCCGTGTTCTATCCTACTTCTTAGTTGGTCCACAATAAAATATCTCTTTCCGCATTATAACGCTCACATTACTGTCAAGCTAGGAACTTTGCCGAGATTCTTAATCCAAACATACAGTATTTTTGTTGCATCACATTTGGGCCCAAGATTGTACATAAAAGCTCCTAATTAACATAACTTTTCTTTATATAATGTACTATTTATAATGTTTCGCATGCGATGATCATAATAGTATTAATAATTATTGGTAGATATAGGTACATAAAACATTGTATGGGTATATAACCGAAATATACCACACCACCACTAGAATAATCAAAATCGTTATAAAAAATTAAGATGCATGTAGATTATTGTATTTTTTATTTATTGAGGCTGTTTAATTATCAATAAGTAGGTATGTAGGCATGGGTTCAAGATATCCAATAACAACATGGCATAAGGTCTCAGTTTAATGCATTGCGTACTTGCAATTGATTCTATTCAAATGGTGTCAAATTAAAGAGTCTGAATTTAAAAAAATGGTTTATCTTACAAACAGATGCTTAAAATATCATGAATAGTGTTAAGAGGTATAACAAAAACATAATAACTAACACAAGCATCAGAATTCTGTCAAAGAATAAGAGGAATAGTTTGGATAATATTAGAATATAAAAATGTTTGTACACTTTGGTTAAAATATGTTTAACACCATGATACAAGCTATAAGATAACTTGTAACAACTGACATGTAACAAGGTAGCTATAAAGATTTGTATCTGTTCAATCCAGTTTTTAATAGCTGTTTTTTCCTAATATCCTGTATCCATCATAATGATTGCTGTAATAATGGTCATCGTAGCGGTTATCAAAATTTAAGTTTAACTTCAAATAATCCTTAAGTTTATCTTCTAATCATCTCCGCTGTCCAGTTTCATTCCAGCCCCCCTAGCATGAGTAACAAAACGCGTTATGATAAAGCGATTTAGCGACATTAACTGTCAAACTACTATGGAATTTGACAGTTGAGTGTCGATAAATCGCTTTATCATATCGCGTTTTGTAAGTCATGCTAGGGGGGCTGGTGTGATAAATAAACTAATAAAACCTTAGATGTCTGTCTCACCACTTACATGTGGTTCTTCTTTTTTTTGTGATATCCTCTCGAGTTGGATCTTAACATTTCGTAAATTCATGTAGTAAAGCAACCAATGAGAGCGCAAGCGAATATCGCATAAGTGTCAATTTAAACTATAGGTGGAATTTTAAGTTTTTCTAATGAAATTTCGGTTTCTGATGTGGTAGTATGAGGTAGCAAAATTCCACTTCTTGACGACACCATATTGCCTTTATTTTACCAAGATGAAAAAGGGCCAATTGTTTCAGTAATGACTTTGTTTTCTAATCTTCCTGAAGAAAGAGAACAAGATCGGCCAACAGTTCTCATTCACTCAGCATAAAATGATTTTTCCAAATATAAACAGAATGGTTGAAATGACGTCATAGTTTAAAACATAATATTGTGGTTAATTATAAATAATAAAGTATCCCGATCTCCCAAAAACATGTTGTTTGATACCATAAAAATGATTGGTAGGTAATTCTTAGTAAATTGCTAGTAGCTCATAGTTGCAGTTTCAACAAATATTCACATACGTAATTGGTTTCATTGGGTTATAAATGTTTAACTACAATAATTTGATCACCATTTTGATTAGACTGGTTCACACTAGTACAACAATACAAAATCTGTGACTGGTTATTTCTTTATAATAATAAAATCTAGTTAATAGTTCATTTTTATAAATGACCAGTTTGTAAAAGGTTAATAATTATTAGACTTAAATTTTATGATACACATTGTCAAGTGATTCTGTAAAGGTTATTATATTAAGAAAGTTTTACTAAATTGAGGCATAATTCAAGTTTTATAATTTTAAACTGGTACCACTTATTTAAAGTCTAATGAAAGATTCTTAAACTTTTTCAATTAATTAGACGCTATTCAAACCGTTGCGAGTTATTATTTACTAAAATAACTGCTGGAAATTGATCAATAAAAATCCTATACTACTATAAAGAAAACAAACTTACCATTGGCTGCTGCTGATCAAACATGCCCTGTTCTTGACGATCCAGGAGCGAGTTAAGTCTCTGTGCCTGTGGCAAATAATACATATGTAATTGTTAATATAGATCATTATTATTAACCTGCAATTAAAAAAATCTATAATAATGCCATTTTTTTTTTCAAAATGACTAGTGTAAGTATACATAGGTAATTATTTTCAAGTATATCGGGAGCCGCTCTTCTGGCCGCTTTCTATTTTGTGTTTAAACATAGATTGGACGCGCTAGGGTTCTTAACTGTAAAAGTAAAACAAAAGTAAGTGTGGGAGAGACAATGTGGTTGGGTAGCTCATAGTACACATAGATATTGCTTCTGAAGGCACGATAAGCCGTTGGTCCCGGCTGCATCTGCAGTCGTAAGCACCCACAAATCCGTACTGGGCCCGGTCCATAGACAAAGCCTGTAATGGGGAGATTAAAAAGCTAATGACGCTGACCTGCCGGCCTATTCATTAACTTTCGGTATATGCCTACAAACGCCCCCCCCCCCCCCCCACGACAACGGCTAACTAGAGCCGAGGTTCGAGTCTTAGAATGCTTTCTAGTCGAACCGACCCCCTCAGGTTCGAGTGGTCTAGAGGCTCCAGACGGAGAGGAGACTCCCCCCGTGTGGAGATGCCATCCGCCTGGAATACCTCTAGAGGCACTCGCCAATTCTCGGCTTGAGGTCCCCTTAGGATCTCACCCTCCCCAAACCCGGTGACTTTGTAAAGGTCATCTGCGACAAGGGTTACCATCCGTCCGGATTTGTCTGGACATGTCCAGACTTTGAGACTAATCTTTTTGGACTTTGTCCGGATCTTTATATTGTCCAGATTTTGTAATTTAGTTTGAATATGAATAATAAAAGTACACATTGATATGAATACCATATCATTGTAACTAAGTGAGAAATTGCACCATTTTGTGACTGAAAAGTCTGGACTTTTTTCCAAATGTCAGGATTTTTGTCAGGACTTTTGAAACTCCTATGTCCTTCGACTTAAACCCTATCTGCGACCGACAGCATACACACTCAGAAAAAATAAAAATGCCTACAGATACTGGTATGATTGGTGTACCTGCACAAACAGCGTGTTCTCCTGCTGCCGGCGCCGCAGCTCGTCGTCCTGGTGCCGCATGCGCTGGGATAGCTCCTCCTCCTGGCGCAGCAGCTGGGCGCGCTCCGCCTCGCGCCTCTCGTCGGCCGCGCGCTCGGCCATCTCCCAGCTGCGCTTCTGACGCTCGCGGTCCTGCTCGCGCTGACGCAACTGCTCGCGGAGCATCTCCGTCTCGTGCTCGTATCTAGGTATTTTTTGTTAAAACAGTTAAAATGGTGGCAAACAAGCATATGATCTGCCTGATGGTAATTTTTTTAACTAATATGATGTTAGCTTTATTTTTTTAAGGTGAATAATGAGTTACTTATTGATGATAAGCAAACTTTTATCGCGCAACTCTTTTACACAATAATATCAACACGAAACTGGGTAATTGACGTACGTATCGCTTAACATTTCATTAAACACTAAGTGACGGGAAAAGACTAAAACCCCACCAGGTGGGAGATATTTTTTTCAATGAATCTGCGCTGCCACACTATCTAGGGAGTGCATAATCAAAGCAAAACAATTATATTTAATTAGGTACATTCTTTATGTTTTGCATTGTGATATGGGCTGTTCCCAGATATTTCACACTGAAACACAATTAAAATCACATATTTATAGCTTTAAGTTGGTAAAAGGCTTACTTGGCATATTCCATTTGTGCTTCCAATTTCTCTTCCTCAGCAGCAAGTTCTTTTTTGAGAGCATCCTCCTTTTGGCGATGCAATTCATGAAGCTGCTTCCACCTAGTGCCATACTCGTGTTCAAAGCTATTAGACTCAGAGAAACGAGGACCATGCTAAAAGAATGATGAAGAAATATAAGCATCAACACATCCTATCCCATCCATTTATTTAAATTTATAAAATACATCTAAATTGCTATACTGTTTTCAGAACCACTAATAATTTTAACATAATTTGAATGTTATATTTACTGTGAATAAATTACAATATACAAACCTCACGAGCCTTCAAAAATTCAGGATGTTTCTTAGGCAAATTTTTTTCAGGGTACCCATCCATTTCATCAGGTTCCTCAAAGTTCTCAACAATCACTGGACGAAGTGACCTGTAAGATATGTATTGAATGAAAAAACATATTCTCTGTTTTTGTAATGATATTTCTTAGCAGATATTAAATAATACTTACGAAGTAAGGAAGAAACATTTTTCAGTACAATTGCGAATAGCAGCTAATGCGCTGGGTTTACGTGAATACTCAACAACTCCCTCTCCAAGGGTCTTTCCACGCTCATCTACTTTCACATAGGCTCTTTCAATTTTGCCAAAAATCTCAAAAGCTCTGTAAAGAAGCTCATTTGATACAAATGGTGGCAAATTTTTAACACGTATAGCACTGTTGTGTGGGGCAAATCTTACTCTTAGTGTTTTACCATTTCTCATTTTACCATCCAGTTCTCGCTTTGCTCTTTCTGCATTAACTCTGTAGTCCTGTAACAATACAAAAAATGATGTATGCTGATTTTCAATAATATAAAAAAATAGAGAACTATAATGCATTTAACATACCATCTTTATAAATCCAAAACCCTTCTCTTTATTTATAAATAATTCAGCTGATTCACCAAAAGGTGCAAAGAGGTTGAGAATTTCCTCTTCAGACACATCATTGGTAAGATTTCCAATATACAATCTGCTTCTACCATTAAATTTCACTTCTGACTGATCTATTGTTGGTAAGTCAATAAGTGGTCCAACTAAATCCTTTAGCTTGTTAGCAAGCATCAGCTCTTCTCTCTGTACAGGTTTGCCATCTTGGGGAGGACCTCCACGAGGGTTGCCTCGTTGCTGATGATTTCTCACTGGCCCAGGACCACCGCCTTGTTTTTGACCAAACTGTCTATTCCCCTGGCCACCAAAGTTGCCACCCTGACCACCAAAATTACCACGGTCACCTTGAAAGTTAGCACGGTCACCTTGAAAATTACCACGGTCACCTTGAAAATTACCGCCTCCTTGACCACCTTGGAAGTTACCACCTTGATTAAAGTTTCCTCCTTGTTTGTTACCAGGCCCTCCTTGGGACCAGGATCCTCCTTGCTTGTTACCTCCAAAGTTACCACCATTCATATTCTAAAATAAAAATATTTGTAATATGAATCACAAAATCAAGATTTTTTACAAATAAATTTAACTATCAAATGTCAAAAAATATGCTGGTCAATAACTGTCACTTAATGTGTCCAATACTAGGGTTGCTTGCAGATTGCAGTTTAGTTCAGCTTTTAAAGGTGTTTATCTAATATGTATATAAAATTCTCATGTCACAATGTGAGAAATTGAACTACTAGTCCAATAACTAGTCTTTGTAATTTTTTTATAACACTGATATTTTGCAATTAATCACAACAGATAAGATTATTAAATCATGCATATGATAGAGCATTTTATCTAGTTTCAATATATCTTTGTAACATCTAAGATACTATAAAAGCTGTCTAAAAAAATCATATTTTAATTTGCTTAACTATCCAATAACTGGGTGTTTACCCTATTCAAGATAATAAAAACGAGTTAGTAGCCCACTTTCCATTACTAGAATAGAAGTACATAATCCAATTCAACTCAAAAGAAAAAGCTAACCTTCTGTTGCTGATTTTGATTGCCTTGATTTTGAATTTGATTTTTCTGGTCCATATTTTGCACATTGTCAACTTTATCCTGTGATTCCTGTTTGAGTGGAGCATTTTGTGGTTTTTGTTGTTGCTGCTGTTGTGGTGGTTGTTGCTTTGGCTGCTGCTGTTGTTGAGGTGGTTGTTGCTGCTGCGGCTGCTGCTGTGGTTTCGGCGGAACCGATTTTGGCTGTTGTTGAGGAGTTTGCTGAGTCACAGGAGTCTTTTGGGGTTGTGGACTTGGTTGTGACTCCTGAGGTTTTTGTTGTGGTGGTTGTTGGGCTGACTTCACAGGCTAAAACAAGTTAAAACATTACTCCAATAAGTAATAGAATGAGCTTATAATGGCTTAAGAAATCTATAAGTAGCATACTATCAATGAGCCAAATTTGAAAAATTATGTAATAAATATTATTATTTTTAAGGGTTAAACTGCTAGATATTTAAATGTAAAGAAAATTTTGCTACAAAATATTCCACTGCCTGTACTGTGTGGATTTTTTTCTAGTAAAATCAATTTTATACAGATAATAACACATGGAAATGAATTCTGTCACTTCTGATAATTTGTGTCTGATAAATCTTTTTAGTCTGCATCACTTGTTTATTACATCTAGAGTAAATCTGAGCAGTTCAGTAATTCTGCTCAGATCAATCAAATCTGTTTGCACCAAATATTTTGACCAACACGAAAGATTAATGTGGTTATCTGTCATGTTGTAAGGTTTCTATGGGTTAGTTTCTGTTAGAGGTTAGAAATTTATCTATCTATGGTAGGTTGGGTCGTTTATTAATAGCAATTTACTCAGATGAATTGGTGATCACAGTCCCAAAAATCCCACAAATCCATCACTGTATTTAACAAAGGATTGATTCCTTTCTCCATACAACTGTCCAAAAAAAATTATAAAAGCGGGTTGCATAGTACAAGTACATTCCCTAACATCAACTTTACATTACATTTAAAACAATACTATATCTATATTGCTGTTTTACACTCGTAACTATATTATTTTACATGTGACCTTAGGCCACAGATGCGAGGATAATAGAATATTACTAAAACAAGCAGTATGCATTGCTGGCATATCTATGAAAATATCCCTGAAATAAATTTATTGATAATCTTTATATATATAATTCTTCTGTGAGTGTGTATGTCACTGAACTTCTCTTAAACGACTGGACCGATTTTGATGAAATTTTTTGTGTGTGTTCAAGGGGATCTGAGAATGGTTTAGATTCACAATTTTGTCCGCTGGACAACCCCTATTTTATTAGGGCGGTACGAAGTTCGCTGGGTCAGCTAGTAAAGATCTAAAATTTAAAAACTCATGGTTTACAAATTCTTCCTACATTTTGATAATTGAACTTGTGAAGTTCTATTAAAGATCACCCTCACGAATTTTTTTTAAAACCATGTCCCTATGTCAATTCCAAAATATCTTGCGCATATAAAATGGCGGAGCAACAGCTAACCACCTTAAACAGGTAGCTACTAGCAATAGAAAGTAAGATTTGCTGTAAATGTAAAGGTGAGACTTATTTTGCAAATTTTGTGTTACCGAAATCTAAACTTTATGAGTAGGAATTGTATTTTAGGGCACGTATGACTTACCTCATTACTAGGACGTTGACCTCCTGATCCCTGGTTTTGATTGCCTTGATTAGAGTTTCTCTGATTGTTGTGTTCAAATCTCGAGTTACGAAAACCACCTCTATTATTACCTCGTCGCCCACCCTGTCTTTGAGGTTGCGGTGGTCCACCAAACCCTCTCTGATTTCCATAATTGTTCATTCCTTGCATCTGCATTCTAAAACAAATTTAATATTTAGAACTAGCGAAGCAATGATAGACCAAAATCACCAGAATTTAATAAACATACCTTTTTTAAAAGGATCGGAAATCAAGTTTATCACTACTATTGTTTATTAATAATTAAAAATTAAAAAATCTATTAGTTCTACACGCACACGCCACTGAAGCTTAGACGCAAACAAAATGGTGGTCGTGGACAGGACAGGAAAATAAAATGAACACGCACGTCGCGCGTCGTGAGTGTCGTCACCACAGGATTTTTTTTTCAATTTTGGTTTTACGGCACTGGGTTCTAGCCCTTTTCTGCCGGACCAGGAAGGTTTTCCTTTCTTCGTTCAAAGTTTTCCCCATTCTTCTGTGTTGATAAATTTTATAACGTTATATTTGAATTATTTAAATATTTAACAAGCGGTTTAAAACTTAATGTATTATTGAGCAGTTTAGGCAGAATATTGTCATCACTAATATCACTTGATAAAACGTTATTCAAGCTGTCAATGTCACTTAGTTCACTGACGAGTAAAAGTCTGTTTAATTTAAAATCTTGATGACGGCATTTCAGAATCAGATGATTCAAGTCTGCTCCTTCCTCTTCGCAGAGTATGCATTTGGAATCTCTGGCAATTCGGATCTTGTGTAGATGAGCAGGAATTTTACAGTGACCAAATCTCATGCGGCAGGTGGTGGTAATAAAGCTACAGTTACACATGCTGATTACTAGCACGAAAGCATGCCACTATTGAGCAATTGCTACTTAGTAGTATGTGTGTCGAAACATTGCTAATAATGAGTATGCTCATTTTGAGTTTGCTCAAAAATCAACGGTCGTGCGATTTTTGGGCATGCTACCTGCAGCGTGGGTGGAGGGGGGCGTGCTTTTAGCGCGTGTGAACAGGTTTGCCTATTGAGCATGCTAGTATCGATCAGTCGTTCGCAACAGGTGCGTGTGCACCCATCTTCACGCAAAATGTCTCGCTGGGGCGACGAAAAAACGCTCAAATTTGTAAATTTATACCGAAATCACGAGTGCTTGTGGAATCCCCGCATACCGCAGTATAAAAATAATGTTGATCGAAATAAATCTTCTAGATATCCAATCACGAACCCAAATCTTTCTCTTTCTTTTCTTTTTTTGCCGAGCTGATATAAGCTTCTGGATGCATTGCATCGCCAGCAAAAGGATGATCTTATTCAGCTCCATACGGATAGCTGTTTGATTGTCCATGGCTTTGTTTGAACTGACAGAGAGTGAGAGCTTAAAGTTGCGGTTTAAATTTCCTCTAAGTTACTTAGGATGATACCACGGACGGGCCGGCGTCACCACAGGACAACCCACAGTGTTACCAGGTCCGATTTTAAAAAATCGGGAGGGGTTATAGTAAAAGAAAAAGCTGTATGGAAAGAGCTACAAGAAAAAAAAAGTAGATACAGAGGCGTACTTTATCCGATTTGCCCCCCTTAGAATAGGTAAATCAAATCAGGTTATAGGCCAGTATCGAATGTGTTTATGTGGCTTATGCCGCCCCTCAAAGCTTGTTTTTTGTATACAATAACATATTTATTGCATATAATTGCATTATAATTAAGTTTACCTCCATTCTTAATAGCGGAAAAGGACATTTAAAATTCTAAGAAAACAACAACAGCAGAACAGGAGACAATTCAGAAAAACAGGAGATCTCCCGGTAAATCCGGAGACCTGGCAACCCTGCTACTCAGTGCTAGGTGCTAGGCATGCTAGGCTAGGCTAGTGTATAGAGGTGAGAAACTCCCATACATAGAAAAATTGTATGGACATCTGATCAATTTGATGCTGTTGTGCGCTAATTTGAAATGATTTATCAACGTTTAATATACTTGTATATAATATCATTTAAAGAAAAAAAATGAAAACAACGAAATTATTGACGTGACAACGTCTTAAATTAGGTTGCGGCTGGGAGTCACTTATGAAAAAGTGTAACGCTCGGGAACGTTACGATGAGTTTAAGTTTACATGTACAATGTTTTAGTAAACAAAATATATTTCTATAGTTAAAATTTGTGCAATTCTTATTTTCATTCAATTCCTTGTTCCTATTGTGCAATTTAATTATATTCATATCAATAAATATTCTACCGAGAAAAAGACGTTGTCACGTAAAATCTTCGCCCGTAAAACCGACTTTACAGGCAACCATTTTTTATTATTACTTATTAATATTAATAAATTATTAATTGTTCTTTATAATTTCGTACATTATTCAACTAACTTCATCTACTTGTATAAACAGCTAACTTCACAGATACTGGTGCCAATTCTGGCGTGATTCTCTAAACTTAAATCTAAATTTAACATCAGTCTCTCCTTTTCATGCTGTATAGAGAATAACAAGGATACACTGTTGTCAAATTTAAGTTTAGGTTTAGAGAATCATGTCAGAATTGATACCATTACCTAATGACGGCAGCGCGGCTAGTAAACTATAAATTCTACAAATTTTCAGGGACAGGCGAGCTAATGCTTTAGCCTTAGAATAATTACAATTCTAAGGCTTTAGCACGTAGCGATCGTTCTCCTTCTCTCTAACCTCCATAGGGTGGTCCACATCATAGAGGCATAATAATAGAGTGGGGAAGGCGGCTCTAAAAGTGTCCGTGTAGTAGAAAGAGAAAGATGAAAGATAGCCTTTCTCTCTCTAATCACAAATGCGCGTTAGATATATTTTGGGATAAAAACCCTACGGATGAATACCGACCAACCACACGACTGCGCAGCATCACAAAAAAGATAGCTAGTCGTCCCTCATCTTCTTTCTCTTTCTACTAGACGGCCACTTCCACTTGTAGTAGAGTACATATCTCCCCTACTCTATTCTTATACCCCTATGGTCTACATACTCTGAGGATTCCACGGGGTGGTAGGGTACGGGTACGGCCACAGTGCACTCAGATTCAGATTCAGACTCAAAAAACAAGCGCGAGAAATAAAGGGTACGGGTACGGGTGCGGCCAGAGTGCACTCAGATTCAGATTCAGATTCAGATTTCGAAAACAAACGCGAGAAATAAACAGTGTAGTCGAAGGGTACGGCCAGATTGCACTCCTGATTCAGATTCAGATTCGGACTCAGAAAACAAAGCGCGAGAAAAAGCAGGCAACCTGCTTAGACTACACTGTTTATTTCTCGCGCTTGTTTTCTGAGTCTGAATCTGAATCTGGATCTGAGTGCACTCTGGCCATAGGGTGCGGCCAGGCTAGAAATAAACAGTGAAGTTAAAGCAGGGTGGCCATAGTGGCAGCAGGCAACCTGCTTAAACTACACTGTATATTTCTCGCGCTTATTTTCTGAGTCTGAATCTGAGTGCACTCTGGCCGTAGGGTGCAGCCAGAGTGCACTCAGATTCAGAGTCAGATTCAGATTCTGAAAACAAGCGCGAGAAATAAACAGTGTAGTCTAAGCAGGTTGCCTGCTTTTTCTCGCGCTTTGTTTTCTGAGTCCGAATCTGAATCTGAATCAGGAGTGCAATCTGGCCGTACCCTTCGACTACACTGTTTATTTCTCGCGCTTGTTTTCGAAATCTGAATCTGAATCTGAGTGCACTCTGGCTGCACCCATACCCAGGCCAGAGTGCATTCAGATTCAGATTCAGACTCAGAAAACAAGCGCGAGAAATAAACAGTGTAGTCTAAGCAGGGTGGCCATAGTGACAGCAGGCCCGCGCAGGTTTCGGAGTCAGACACTTTACCGGAATGTTTAGGTCATTCAGATTCTTAGGAATTCACCAGCGCCGCTCGGACTGCAGGTAGGGTTGCCAACCCTCCTATAAAATATAGTATCCTACTTTAATAGGGGATCAAATACTATATTTCTAAAAAATACGTACTAGGCGAAATTACTAAATTTTGCTTAAAGCATATTTTTGACAGTAAAAGCTCTCTTAAAAAATATTAGAGATTGTTATTATAATATCAGTAAGGCAAAGAGCAACAAAAATATATTTATTTCAAAAATAAAGTCAATTTTATAACCACTTACTGGTGTCGATTCTGGCACGATTCTCTAAATATAAACTTAAATTTGACAACAGTGCATCCTTGCCATTCTCCATACAGAATGAAAAGGAGAGACTGATGTTAATTCTTCATCATGTGAGGTTCAATTTTTTTTTAAATGTCGTAGTGGCCATCACCTGCTTTCCTCAAGCTGACATCCCACGAGCCTGTTTTCTGAGTGCGTGCACTCTGGCCGTACCCAAACAGTGTAGTAGACATGGGCGTTTTTGGTTTTGAACGCAAACGGATATTTATCGGATTTCAGATTTCAAAATCGATTTCGAAATCCGTTTTTAGATATCCGATTTCAGATGTGCCTAACTTAGCCAATTCACTAGTTTGTGTTTAGATTATTTTTTTTGATATTGGTTTTATTAGCTAACGACAATCACAAACAATTAATTGACGATATTTTGAAAACCAACACAAAACTCGTCTAATCAATTAAAAAGACAACAGTTAAAAAAAAATCCAAATTAAAACTATCAATTTAAATAATGTGTAGGTACCCAATTTACTAAGTTGACTTATTATTTTTATCTTTATGAACTCTACTTAACTCCAATCCAGTCTTAACATACATGTAATTAATAATTATCTAAAACCGGCAAACAAAAATCACTGACTGACACGCGCGCACTTGCATATCAAGGTTAAATTTGCGCCTAAACGAAAGCACCAAGTTTTTGTAGTAAACAATCGCACACTAAGCTATAAGCCAAAATACATCACCTCACAGCCTAGTCACGCAAATATAGTCTTTAAGTACTGTGTCGTAAGACTAAATTGATCGCACATATTCAATGGCAATAGATTTCCGTAAACAACAAACCGAAATCGGACTTCCGAAATTCGCGTCATCTACTCCGCTTTGTTACGATTGGTAAGAAAGAGACAAAGCGAATTTTACTGACTCTCGAAATTGTGAACAAATTCGCTTTCTCTCTTTCTAACCAATCGCTACATAGCGGAGTAAAAAAGATGGCACGAATTTCGAATCCGATTTACATTTAGATACGTGTGGTGGCATTAGATCGCTAGATCGATCGTTTTGGTTCGGTTAGATTTCTGAAATCGGATTTTCTTGTTGAGAAATCGTTTGGTATCGATTTGTGTTTGAAATCGGATTTTGGATTCGTTTTGATATATCGGACGCATGCCTACAGTGTAGTTATTGCAGGGTGGCCATAG